TCTTTAGTTCTACTTACTAAAAGGACATTATTGTTCCAATTTCACGCATCTAATTTTTGTTTAATAAGCTTAATTTCTGTTTTTATTTGTTAAGTTAATAGGTACTTAAAATTAGACAAAATTCTTATTTCATATCAGACAGAAGTTTTATTTTATTTCGTTTGCAAATAGCATTTATAAAATTTAATTTGTATTGAAAATATAGTTAAAACGAACAGAATAACTTTTAATTTGCCGTAAAGTTAGTTTTGACATTTACCGACAAATATCACTGTGTGGTTCACTGTGTATCTACTATATACACTTTATATACTGATAGTCATAGATACTAAACTATAGCTATAGTGAGTGACTAACTCATCTCCCAGTGCACAAGCTCAACCTAAACCGCTTGAGTAAAAATCTAAGATTTGGACAGCAGGTATATATATTTTTCATAAATATTTGTTACGTTATTTTATACTATTTTGTTTACTGCGTTTAGATACAATTATATTTATCTTTTTATCTTTTAAAAAACGTTACCTTCACACTAGGATTTTCTCCTTCGTGGGGCCAGATTCCAAACATAGATTTCACAAGGACAAAAATCCAGACCGGGAACAATTAATTGTAGGCCATACAAATACTTGTTCCGTGCGGGATTCGAACCCACGGCCCTTAGCGCTGTAACTCATTACTAAGCCAATGCGCCACGGAGCCGTCAATTATATCATTATAGAACACCATTTTACAATATTTAATTACGAAAATGTCCTTGATCACTCAAAGCCACCATTGAACGGATTCGTACGTATATTTCGTACCCATACTTCAGAATATTAACCGTAACTTTTGATAGGACAACCCGATTTTAATAATACAAAGACTAAATTTAAAACGAAGATACGCTTCATAATTTTATTGACGTTTATTTTGATATAAACTAGAACTTTATACATGATTCGTTAAGAGCGCGTCGCCCAAACCACGGTAATTTTATAGAATTACCGTGTCCAAACGGAGCGGGCGATAGTTGGAATTTCAAAGACTTGCTGGCTGTTTGCGTCGTTACGCACACAGCCACAATTTGCATCGAGCGAGACTATTTGCGGGTGGCATATCAAAAGTACGTAACTAAAGATTTGAAAAATTTAAGTTCTTGAGTTTTTGTAGTCTATTTTTTTTTAAATTTATTTAGTTTATTTCTTATGATATTTAATATAAAATAAAATTATCTTTAAATTTATGTTTTTATTAAGTTATTGCATAGCTTCTATCGCGGGCCTTGAGCGCGGGGACCGAATCCAGAAATTCCGTAACGAAAAAAACCTCACGCTCTCCACTCCAACGGGCACGGAGGTGTGGCGTTGAAAGCCGTGCATCGTCTAACGTCGTTTTAGTTCGGCAGACTTCGGCACTCGGCAGACTTCGGCACTCAGCAGACTTCGGCACGGTGTTTGTGTGCATGTACACTAGCTGCTAACTCAATGATAAAAATTCCTGAATAACTTACATGTATTGTAAGATATTAAAAATATTTTAAACAATATTAACTTCTCATTTATTCAATAAGAGAAAAAAAATTGTTTTCTTATCGGTCACCACGCTCAAAAAGTGTAACTTGATTTAATATCAAAGACTTAACTGCATAAATAAAATAAATAAATAATTATAATTGCATAAGTTGATAAAAAATGCTATGCAATAGCTTTACCGCGGCAGTCACCGAGTGCCACACGAATTTTTTTTTATTTATTTAACATATTATACATGATAAAGAGGATATAATATGGTACAACCTAAGCTTAATGAAAACTTTACCGTGTACCACAAGCCGTCGACATATTTTTTTTTTAAATATGAGCTACACCTTAATCTACAAAGTATGTTTAATGCAACACTATTAAACAATAAACAGCAATTGGCACGGTCAACACGCGGTAACATAAGCAATACATACGTAGTTACCTCATAGTGAACAAGAAAGGTGTGAGATGTGAGTCTTGCCACCGCCCACTTCACCGCGTCAAAAACCGGTCGTTCCTGCGTTGCGTATACAGGCGGTATCAATTAGTTAGTTACTTAATATTTAATAGTAGACGAATATAATGATTATTCTTAGGTTGTATATCATATAGGTACATTTAGGAAATATAGTTAGTGGGGATTATAGTATTTAATTTTATTATTTTTTTAGTTTGAATTCTGATATAGATAGTTCGTATAATAGTTTTTTAATTTGTGTTTAAAATTTTTATGATTAATTTCTGTATAATATGAACCATGTATTCTAAAGTACGTTTTCCGTATAAATTATTATAATTAGGTTTATCTAATTTTGGTTTGGCCGCACTGCGGTTTTTATAATAGTTAGAAATGCCATATTTTTTTTAAATCTTCATTAAAAAATTCTTCATTTAAGAGAGTATATTCTACTTTTTTATGCACCGGTATAATTTTGCAGTAATCGAATAGGTTATGGTAATCAGAATCCCTGTGTAAGTTATAACTTGGTCTGGGACCATAGTTTTTAAGATGCGTAGTTGCAATGAATAAACGTTATCTAAATGTGATTTGTAAGTTCGCCCATAACTAGACAAGCCATATGAAATTTTAGATTCGGCCAGTGATTTATATAATTGTAGCAGAATTCTATCTCTATAGCATATTAGAGAATTTTGCTAATATGCTTCGAAGTCTATTACACACATCCTCAATATGATGTTTCCAGTTGAGTCGACTATCTATTATAAGTCCTAAGTAAGTTTGAGTTTCTACCGGCTCTAATTCTGCACAATGACAGTTGAGAGTCAATTGTCCTTTTTGAAGGCATCGGTGGTCATGCACAATAATGCTAGGTATTACTTTACTCATACTGTGACTTGAACTTATATACATTAGCTTGGTCTTGCTAGCATTGATAACTAATCCTTTATCGTGAGATCATTGTGTTAATATATTAAGTTCTTCTTGCAGAATGCGGCCAGTTTCGTTAATATTTTCGCCTGCTGCAACGAGGCACGTATCGTCGACATACTGGTATATTTCGCAACGCCTGATGACGTTTGGCAAACTATTAACATAGGTGATGTAATGCAATGGTCCAATTACAGAGCCTTAAACTCAAGAACTTAATTTTTTCAAATCTTTAGTTACGTACTTTTGATATGCCACCCGCAAACAGTCTCGCTCGATGCAAATTGTGGCTGTGTGCGTAACGACGCAAACAGCCAGCAAGTCTTTGAAATACCTAACTATCGCCCGCTCCGTTTGGACACGGTAATTCTATCTATACAGTATTGTAACTCGGCCGTATCTTTGAAATAAACTCGGCTGCCTGCCTCCAGCATTTTAATTACATTTGCCTACTTTGTGTTTCCATTTAGTTTTATGATTATAAATATACTTTTTTATATAAACAAATATAATAGGTACTTTGTGAATTGAATAGTAAGTGTTCAATAAAAATGCGTGTCGTATTTCGATTGGTAGATTTAATTAAAAAACCATGTTTATGTTTAAATAACAAATCGGTCTCATAAATTTGCGACCGAAAAATATTTGCGCCTCGGCTGAGACGTACGAAACGCTATATTATTAAATTTTTAAGTATAAAAAAAAATCCGCTTTCTAATATAAAGCTTAATTAAAAATTGTTTTGGGAAACATGGACAAGGTGAAGAAAAGGAATATCTTTTAATTGGTTATAGATATCTGCAGCTACTTTACAATTTATATGTTTGGTTTTAAATGAATTAAATTACTTCTTTATTTCTATTCTATTATTTTATTTCCTCCATTTTTATATATTCCACAATATCATCACTGCGGCACAGTCACGACTGCCTGCATGCCGAGCACATGCCGAGATCGAGGCGCGTAGGCATAGCTCTCGCTTCGTCCGTTTGTATGAAGTTGGAATACTGTATAGATAATATTACCGTGCCGTGGCAGAAACACTGGTCGTGGTTGATTATTAACCGACCATAGGGTTTGGTGCCCGGTTTGTCGAACAGCGTGCGGGTTAACCTCGGAATACACGTGTGTATTTTTCCGGTTCCACAGGACGTTTCTGGTAAATGTTGAGTCGTTCATCCAGATGACGTGCTTAATGAAAACAGGCACACGTTGTTGCTGGTCTAATAAACATCGGCAGAAAACTAAAGCTTGCACTTTGTGTACTTTGTATGGGCGCATTTGGTTACGCTTTAACACCTCGTGAACTGTCCAAGGCGTCGGGATGAAACAAGTGTGCCATACACTTGTCCCATCCCAATGCCTTAACCATTTAGCGGTACTTTGTGTATCTAGATTCGGATTCCGGCGAACGACATCTAAAATGCGCTCCTCGGAGTGAACACCCATTTGACTTCCACCTCCTGCCGATACCGGAGCAATGGGCCGATTTTCCAACACTCGCTGAAACACTGCTGTTATCGGACAATATTCAGCTGGGTATCGAGCGGACAGGAATTTCTCTCGGTAAATTCGTGATGCACGCGAAGCATTTCCACAAGCTTCTCCAAAGCACGTTTAGATGTTGCCGTATTCAAGAGCACTATAGAGGTACACGTTAGCACTTTCACGGACACTGGACACTGCACCAAATTTGAAATATGACACTAAAAAATTCCATACAAATTACTACCACGCCTATATACTTCCTGACACATAGGAATATATTTGTACAATTGTGGTGAGACAGTACGCTTCTGTACGTGGCCCGAAATAATCGTGCTTTCATATCGTAGTCAAAGTTATAGTCTTCTAATGACAGTACGCTTATGTACGTGGCACAAAATAGTCTTGCTGCCAGCTCATAATTTGTTGTAAGTGATTATCATTGTTATCTTTATGATTTCTAACAGCATTGTCCTCTTGACTTTCATACCTTTGAACGCTGCTTTCTTTCTCATTTCCTGCTACTTGAATTTGATGGTGATCGAAAATACTACAATCGCTTATGTCGGAATCACGTTCGGTTTCATCAAAGTTTCTTTCATTAACAGAATTCTGGTCTAACTGCTCGCCATTATCGCTTTGATCGCCAGCAGAACCATGATACGACTTCTCGCTTTCAGACCCAATTCTTTGTCTATTCCGTTCAAAGCGACTTCTATGAACATCGAAAATTTCACTGTAGTCACTGCTGCTATCTTCATCTTCATCAGCGGGCTCGTAATTGTGGTCTGAACCATATTCACCATCATCGTCAGAATATGGATCGTGGTAGATTTATCATCTCGAAACAAAGATTTTGGCTTGCCTCTGCTCAATTTGTTTCTTTTTGAGGCCATCTGAAGACAATTGAAAGAGAATTAGACGCACAACAAAAGAAAAAATCGAGACTTACCTACAAAATAATATGAAGTTTACTCCATTATATTTTTAAATTTATCGTGTTTTTTATGCGAACGGTTTTTTGATACAATAAGTATTAACCATTTTTGAAAGACTGGTTACTATTCGGTTATCTTTATACAGACAATAACGTATTATAACACTAAATTACTTACCAGGAAAAACACGTAAGTATTCAACGAACGACGACGAACGATTTGACGCAAGCGAGCGTGTCCTCACCTCCCGGTGACACCACGCGACTGGTTCGTTTGACTCACGACGCGAACGCAACGGCTACATTCGTGGTGCCACAACATGTGTACTATAGCAAAATGTGCATGTATGTGTAGATAGCACACATTTACTATCATAAAATTTTATGTTGTGACAGTACAATCTTGATACTGTTTGGGTTATGACAGTAAAAGTAGATCTTCATATTAACCGTAAACGAATACCGCGCTTATTTACGTAGTGGCAAATAAGGAAAAAAATATTTTATCGTAAATAGGCGTTGTGTCGTAATATAAATTCAGAATGTCACGAAAATGGGCGTACTGTCCGTGAATGTGTTAGGCATTATTAAAACAAAACAAGAAACATAAAACCTAACAACAAGAATAATAACAACAAGTAATAACAACAAGAATTTAATCAACAAAACGATTGAACAGTCACTCACGCGCACGTGAAAGGAACTACACGGAACTGTCTTAGAAACTAAAATTAATAGTCAATACTGCCAAAACAAATGCCTACCGATATGTACGTGCGTTCTTGTGATAAGTACTTTGATCATTTTCACAGATCGTTAAACCGTTATGACATTCCCAACTTTTATTTATTAAGTTTATTTTATGCATCGAGCATTTAACCTGAATAGAGTAGTAATGTGAGCCATCCAATTCCGAAACTGATCAGTGATTTGTCACTGATAAATGGCAATTCACGCTCGCCCTAAAACAGTACCTCACCAACATGTGATCTGTGTGTACGTCCCCCGATACTCCCGAAAATATTCAGTTTGGTATATTAAACCCCATAATGTCGTGTTGTTCTATTCGGTGGTGTGGAAAAAACAGCAAGACATCGAATTATAAAACATACGGAATCACGTTTCATCGGTAAGTATCAATAAGCTTTGATTTTGTTTCAATTTACATCCATATAATACGGCTCAAGTTAAACTGGCCATTAGTATGAATCACTTGGACGCTTGTCTATGCGTCTTGCTCTTACCTAGGTGTAACCAATATAAGCCATCTCATTTTATTTATTACGTGTTTACTAGTGCTTGAATCGGCCAATCAGAGCGCAGCGACCGGCGCAGCGTTTTGGCGGAATTTGTTTTCTTACAAAACAAATAACAATACCGCTCTATTTCAGGTTAAATGCTCGATGATTTTATGGAATTTAGAAGTTATATTTGTAATTTTTTAATACAATTAGACAATTTCAATTCAAAAAATTGGGTACTCACACAATTATAAACACTATTTCATAGTTATCTTTAATTTTGTACAAGAAAATAGAAATGAAATGACACTGAATAATTTAATTAATCTATCAGAAAATCCATGTCAAATTCTCCAAATTAGGTACAAAACTTCAACAGATATTTCCCTTAATTTAAACCTAAACCTAAATTACAAATTCCTCTTAATTTTATTTTAAGAAATGAAACAATTTTCCACTAATTTTATAAGATTTATTTTTTACTAAAAATTTTTCTTTTTTATCGAAATCTTTTTTTTTTCACACTCCTTTTTTTTGTAACAGGAATTTTAGTACATGGAGTATTTTTTATACATGCATTTGGTGCCAAAAACCTATGGTGGTCTGGTGGTTAAAAAGTACCATAGTATCTGTATTTATATGCATGTAGTTCTCTGCTTTATAATTTAAAAAATAAAGAAATGAAAAGCATTAAATGATACAAATAAGTTGCCGAAACAAATCCGAAAATTAAATGAGGTGCAATGAAGATGATTAAAAAAAGGGAGTCATTCGATATTTATAGGTAACCTTACAAAAATGTTAAGATAAGTATTTATTATTTCTTGAAAAAAGGTTCTGTATTGGCCCGGGCTATCGATTTTCAAAATCCCTGCATTTTCCCCGCATAATACCAATCCCCAAAAAATTCCCAACCAACTCTAAATTCCACACAATTTGAAGAATTTTCCAAATGTTGGCAACGCTAAACATGTGTAAATTATACAGTACGAGGCGACAATACCAAAGAATATATACACTACGCGAAACAATACTCGGCCGGGCGGCGGCCGCGCGTGTTTGAAAGGGAAGGGTAGAGTTAGCATAAGTACAGTAATACCTAAACCTAATGCATTGTTTCGTACCGAGCTAGATAGAAGAGCTCGGCGTCCGCGCGAATATTGACCCTATTGTCAGCTAATTTTAAGCTATTGCATAGCTTCTATCGCGGGCCTTGAGCGCGGGGACCGAATCCAGAAATTCCGTAACGAAAGAAAACCTCACGCTCCCCACTACGACGGGCACGGAGGTGTGGCGTTGAAAGCCGTGCATCGTCTAACGTCGTTTCAGTTCGGCAGACTTCGGCACTCGGCAGACTTCGGCACGGTGTTTGTGTGCGTGTACACTAGCTGCTAACTCAATGATAAAAAATCCTGAATAACCTACATGTATTGTAATATATTAAAAATATTTTAAACAATATTAACTTCTCATTTATTCAATAAGAGAAAAAAAATTGTTTTCTTATCGGTCACCACGCTCAAAAAGTGTAACTTGATTTAATATCAAAGACTTAACTGCATAAATAAAATAAATAAATAATTATAATTGCATAAGTTGATAAAAAATGCTATGCAATAGCTTTACCGCGGCAGTCACCGAGTGCCACACGTATTTTTATTTTAAGATCCACTACTGGTTTTATGTTTAAGTGTTTTCATGATTTTTTTAATGAAATTATCGTTTCATTTAGCTGTACTAACACGATGGAGCGTGAATAAAGCTAATAAAACGTTGTGAAAAATTCAATTTTTTTTTTCTCGGGATAGATTTTCTTTCTGACCCATCAGCAAAGGTATCGTTAGTACGATCATCTGTCATTGTTTTCGAGAGCGTTTCAAAAACGTTATAGTCATCTCATAGCAGATGGATGTTGGTGCCCATAGAAATCTACATCTATCCTCGATTAGGAATCAAAATGCAGGAATGCCTCGTTTCCAGTGAAAAGGGTCTCCGGTTCTCTACATACGTAACACAGCAGCATTAAGCTGCTATTTTACGCTGGTATTCTGTGATAGTGTGCTATTTCCTCAGTCGACCCGACCTGTTCGTGCTACAAGCATAATATAGCTACACCGTGGCTGTATCACGTATAATTTTAAATATTTTATTTTTTAAATTATAGATATCTACATTTCCCATTAAATTAAAGCATTTTTAGCATTAGCAACTTTAGCATTCTCACGCCATTTAAATATGACAATTTCTAAAGCAATAATTAAACTTTTAACCTTTTAACATGCAACAGATAACAGTGCTACGTACTTTTAAGTTGACTTTAAACTTTTAAATAAAATGTAGAACCGACTTCAAAAATTTGAAAACAGTAATTTACACATTATTTTTTATTAGAAGTCGGTGAACTTCAGAAGCTATTATGTGCGAATTGTTTAATTTTTTTTAACCTTTAAGTCCTACTTCAGTACTTTTCATAAAAAGTTTATTTTTTTAATATTACAAGTTCAAGGTAAATGTACCTAAGAAACGACCGCGTTACCGAGTGGTCACTGTCCAACAGTTAAAAAGCAGATGCGTTATCCGAGGACTACTCGGGGTGACAACGCATCTGCTTTTTGAGGGGATGCCTAGTTGACCGTTAAAAGGAAAGTAATAAAGAAGAAAAAAAGAAAATGCATTTATTTTTTGATGTCACTACTTTTAGTCGAGTTGTTCCTTTAGAAATAAGTACAACAATTTTCGATTACTATTGGAAACTATTTTTGGAGAAATATATATACAATCAGTGTCAGCCAAACGCTTCCAGCACGACCCCCGTGTAACTTGTTCCTGTGGAATTTAATATATTAAGACGATATATGTACAAAACAGAAATTGTAAGTTTTGAACCAGAAAATGATAAATTTATGTGAAGAGGTGAAAAACTTTTGAATTTTATTTTCATGACTATCAAAAAAAGACTCATGATGAAGGTACAGACGAGGGCCCAGTGGCTTAGTAACGAGTTGCAGTGTTAGGGGCCAAGGGCTCGAATCGCACTCTATTTTGTATGGCCTACAAATAATTATTCTAGATGTTTGTCCTTGTGCAATTTATGTTTGTAAACTGTTTCCACGGCACGGTAAAAAATAAAATACTAGTGTGGTTCGTTAAATATTCATCTAAAACGTGAAATAAAATAAATAAACTTTGGCGAAAAATAAATGTATGTTAGTTTTTACGGAATTTATGGCGTATATTTAACTTTTTAAATACCCGACGTTTTAATCTATGGTAACCGCGGTTAACTATGACATATGGACGTTGAACATCTCAGTCCCGCCCGTGACCATGAGTGCTGTAAAGCGTTCGAAACGTCGGGTATTTAAAAAGTTAAATATACGCGATAAATTCCGTAAAAACTAGTATTATTTCTATGTGTAGTGTTCGCGTAAATATAAGAAATCATTAAATAAATGTATGGTAACGCTTTGATCCCCCATAAAGTGAATAAAATTTGAAAAACCCTCTCATGCACGGCGGCAGGCGAGCAGCTTGCCTTACAGCTTTTGCAGCTTTCTCGAAAAACACACATTATGAGTATTCTAAACTAATAAAATAAAATAAACTGGATCACTAGCAAGTGTGTAAACACGAATTACTTGTTATATAACATTCCCTTGAGTTTGTGAAGTGTAGAAAGATACTCGTATGCTGGCGATGAAGGTTTTTTTTCTTAAGTGTTTTACGTCAAATTGCTGATATATCTGGATGCAGTTGTCAAATGCTTCATATCTCTTTCATGCTATTGGACACTTTAGAGTATTGGCAGATAAATAAATCTCATTACATATAGCTGACAGATAATTCAATCTTATTCAGATAAAAGGCATAGGCCACTTGTAAGTGACGAACACCGTGAATTTTATATTCACAAAAAAGCAGTCGTGGCGGTTCGCCGAAAGTGACTTGGGGTTCGATGCCA